TGTCTCTTGACAAACGCAAGCCGGCTGCACTGAGACCAGTTATGCTCTGTAAATGCAGGCTAATCCTCCGTGTCTCTGCCTACAGAGATACACCAAGAAACACCTCAGCCACACCCGGAGCACCCCGACTTCCACCAGCTTGCCCTCCTAGGCCCTGGTGCAGTTCTCGGCGTCAGCTGCTTTCCTGTCTTTCTGCTGCTGCTCCTGGGCCTGCAGGGCCCCTTCCTGTCTCCAGCCTGCCCCTGGCTTGATGTTGAGATGACTCTGAACATTCCTTCCTACAGAGAACCACGGGCCCCAAGCCCTGCCAACCCGCCTAGCCCAGACAGGCCTACTGGAATGGGTACAGGGGTGTTCACAGAGCACCTTTTTTATCAGGTGTTGTGCCAAGAGTTGAGGGGCACAGGAATGAGTAAGGCCCTTTCTCTACCCAGTAAGGTCTGGTCTACACGGGGTGGACCAGAATTTCACGTGGAGTTGCAGTCCAGCTAGTAACTGATAGAGTCAGAATTTGGACTCAGCTATCTGACTTAGGGTCAACTCTTTCACTCCCTATCTCTCTGCCCCCTGCCCTCATCCTCCAGCCAAACTGGCCAACAAAGAGGGGCTTCAAAGCAATGGACAGAGAGGGCTCTGGGCCCCTCATCCTTCAGATCACCGTCTTGGCCATTGCTCGTCCCAGGGCCAGGCCTGTCATTAACATCACAGAATGTTAAAGCAAAAAGAGACCTTTTGAGATAGTCAACCCTTTCTTCTGTAGAAAAGGACGCTGAGCCTCAAGAGGCTGTGTGACTCTTTCAAGTCCCCACAGCAAGTTGGTAGTTGGTGGCAGCCCTGAAGCCAAGCACCAGGGGCCTGGGCTCTCAGTCCAGTGCCGTCTCCATGTGCTTCCTCAGGCCTCCGGACCCTCACATCTGTCTTTATCCCCTTCCCCTAAACCAGTCCGGGCCTGCTGCGGCTTTAGAAGTGTCTGTCTGCAAAGACTCACAGAAGCAGATTGCTGTGGACTCCACTGTCTGTGCCCCTCTCCCTGCTGATACTGCTGGTCTCTAACCCAGCAGGTGCAGGAGGATGCTACTGAGTAAGCAAGAAAACACGGGGAGCAACTCCGACGTGCAAAACGCTGGGCTCCCCACTGCAGAAGGCACAGTGTGAGTAAGAGGGGTCTCCACCCTGGAGAAGGTAATGAGCCAGTGCAGGAGGTGAATGTCAAAGAGCTGACTCGTCTCCTACGAGGAAGAAGTAACTAGCAAATTGACAGGGTTGCCTTGGAAGCACAATGAAGCCAGTAGTTTTGACTGATGACAACTAGGGAATGCTTCGTGAAGAAAGTGGCCTCTGAGTTGGGTCTTGAAGCCTGAATAGGAGTTCAACAGATAAAATACGGAGGAGCCAGCATCCCAGGTTATGGGAGCCGTGGGATCCGGGAGTGGAACATGAAAGCACTTGGCTGTGCCCACAGCTTAGAAAGGAATGGAGTGAAAGATAAAGCTGGAAAATAATGTGTGGATGATAATATGCAACAGCAAATTCTAACTAATTTGTGCATCATTTATCATAGCTCTCACTGAGTCTTTCTCCCAACAGACTAAAGTCTTAAAAGCAGTGAATAGAAACCTCCTCTCCCTGATTCTTGGAAGAACTAGGCAGGCAGAAGCAGGCTGGGAAGGTCACGGGGTGTTATAAATGGAAAGAGCATAGACGTGTGCTGCTCCTGACCCCTCCACTTGTGGGTGTGCAGTCCTCCACATGTGGGTGTGCACACTTCCATTTTTGGGTGTGCAAACTGAAGGGGAGGGAAGGACTGGCCCCAAGTCCCACAGCCCCACAGCACCCTGATGCAGGCCTCCCAACCCTTCGCTCTGTTCTTTTTGTCCAGGACTTCAGAAAATCAGCACACAAAAGGTAGACTCACATCATAATTTGAGAGATGTAAAAAAAAATCTCTGATTGGCCCTAAGCTTCCTCCACGTAAGTCACCAATGGATTGGGGAAAAAAGGAAAAAGAACACAGAAATGTGAAGCTGAGCTGTCTTTCTCGTGTATAACAGACAAGGCTGACGGAGGTGCTCTCTGACCCTCGGCCCTGGGCAGAGGGTGGAGCGTGCCCATCAGGTGTGGGCAGGTCCAGGGAATCTTGGTTGAAAGGGTATATGATGGCCTGTGAGGCCTGTCCCCCCGCCCAGGTAGAGGGCAGGCTGATGGGACTCAGGACTAAAGGTCCTGAAGGCAACTAAGAAGCTTAGACAGGCACCAGTTTGAACCCCCCACCAGTGCCCCCACTTTAGGAGATGGGGGAGGAGGGGCAGGAGACCCGGGCTGCCCTCCTGGGCGCCAGGGGCACTGTGGGTGTGCTGCCCTGCCCCCCACTAGCAGGTGTCCCAATCCCACACATCATGGAGGCTACAGGAAAGACCCCCAACCATGGGTCATGAGCCCTGTCCCCTCACTCACTGTGTGACCTTGGGCAACCCCCTCCTACTTTCCAGGCCTCGGTTTTCTCATCTGCAATGTGAGAGGGTGAGGCTAGACGATCTCTGGAGGTCCCTCCCATGCTGATGTGCTATGAGAACAAGCTTCTTCATAATTAATAATAAATGCCCTGCCCCTAAAGACAGCTTTTTCCTTTTTCTAAAGCTTTTACACTCATCATATCGCCTTTCATCAGCACATCAATCTGTCCTGGCAGCCAGAAGCAAGCAGCCCCTCAACACATACATAGCCTTTCACCCTGAAAACCGGTCTGGCCAACCACTGCTCATCTAGACTGGCTTCGGGGGAACCGGCTTCTGGGCGGGTTGTGGCCGGGAGCATAGGACCCAACACGTACCCCTACCCCTGGGAGCCAAGAAATGCAGCGTTTCTCTCCCAGAAAGCCAGCAGATGCCAATGGGGAAAACCTGTGGTAGGCTGGGTTCATGGTCAAAGGGGCAGGGCCAGAAAGTTTGTGTCTTCAAAGAATCGAAGATCTTGGGGGGAAGGCAGTGCCGATGGGATGGGGAGAGATGAGGTGGGTGCCACAGTGAGGGCCCTCCCATCAGGCTCCGGTGAGAGACCTGAGTCCTGGGGAAAGGAGATGTCACAGAGCCCCATATTACCTGATCTGCACACGTGTGGCCTTCCGACCAGGAAGCGAGCATAACTACCTATCCTCTTCCGGATCTTTAAAAACTGAGTCTCGAGGCATCATGATGGAGAAGAGCATGGGCTTAGGAGGCGGGCTGAAGTCTCTTCCCAGCCAAATGGTCCTGGGTGATTCTCCACACTGCCTTTAGCCTCAGTTTCCCTACCTATAAAATGGACATAACCATTTCAGGGTTGTGACAAGGGCTAGAAATAGTGAATGTAATAACACACCTAGCTGGACACTCAGCAGATGCTTGATGCACACTTGTCGAAGGAAAGAACGGCTGGTGGCGCCCCTGGGAAAAGCAGTGTGGTGTCCGGCAGTGGCAGGCCAGCCCAGGCTGTGGGCAGATGGTGCTCCCGCTCCGGCTGGCTGCCTCCTGGGCCCACCCTCAGTCGGGGGCCTTGGGGCCTCTTTCATGTCTCTCCTCATGGCCCATGCCAGGGTCCCATGAAAGACTTTTGACCCTTCTTGGCAGTGGGCTGTGCATTCCAGTCATTCTGCTCACAGAGCCCATCCAAGTCTGGAGTTGTTTGCAGCTAAGCAAGGCCTGCGGGATCAGCTGCCATGGCACCTCATCGAGGAGATAAGGAAGCAGGACTCTGGGAGGGGCAGCGACGCCTGGCCTGTGGTCCCACAGCCTGCCCGCCTCACCACCACTGCCGCCATGTTGACAAATGAAGAAACTGAGGCACAGGGAGGCCCCCCCCCCTTCGCCCCCCGGTTCCTCCAGCCTGTCAGCAAGCCTCCAGATCTGGGCCCCACCTGCCCTGTTTCATAGAGACCTCACTTCTGCAAGGATGCCCCATGCTGGTGCCAGCGTTGTCCTGGAAGCCGAAGCCCAAGCCCAGCCTGGCCTCTGGCGCCGGACAGGGGCCACGAACGAGTCCAAAGAGCCCGACAGGAGGTGGTGGGCAGCAGAGCAGGAAGCCCTGGGGCTGGGTGCTCCTGGCCTAGGCTACCTGTCTGCGCTTTCTCAGCCAATCCCGGGAGCCATGCTCCCCTGGGAAGGTACACGTTTTATGAGAGCAGGGTTTTCCCTTGGGTGTTGGCCCACAGGTGCCCAGGGCCACAGCTGTGCCCTCCTGTTTCTGAGAGAGCCAGCAGCCTGGCACAGAGGAGGGGCTGTGTCCTGGGAGGGGGGAAAGCTTGACTGAGCCTGGCGCTGGGACTAACTCATGTGTGCCTTTGCGTGCCACTTGACCTCTCTTTGCCTCAGTTTCCTCATCCTCATAATAAACGACAGAAGCGAGGCCCAAGGTCCCTTTCAGCCACAGCATCTGTGATTTCTGTGGAGGGCTGAGGTGGCGTGGGCTGGGCGGGCGGCGGGCGCCCACCCTGCCTTTCCTGTCCTTGCTTCTCCGTTTCTGTGTTATCGGTTGATCTCCAGCTCTCCAGGTCTCCCTGCCACGGTCTGCCGCTCTCTGCCTGTCTCGCTCGGTATTTTTCTGCCTGCCGCTTCGTTCTCTCTGTCTGAGAGTCTACCTCGGGTTTTATCTCCGAGTCTGTCACACCCCCCTCTGCCTCCGTCTCGCTTCTCCCTCCGTAGTTGCCTGCGTTTCCCTGCCTAGTTCTCCCGGTCTCCGGGCGTCTCTCTCCGTCCTGCCCGCTCCCCGCGCGGCCCGCCGGCTCCCCGCCCCCGCCCCCTCCGCGGCCCCCCCGCCCTCCCTCGGCGCGGCTCCGAGTCCTTATTTGGCTGGGCGGGAGGGCTGGCGGGCGGAGGCGGCCCGCGGGCGGGGGGCGGAGGGCGGGAGGGGGCCGGGCGGAGGAGGGCGGTGGGTGGTGCTGAAGGGACAGCTCCGCGGCGGCGGCGGCGTTGGCCGCAGCGGCCCCGGGGCGCGGAGCGGGTGCCCGGCGCGGGGAGCGGCGAGCGCAGCCATGCCCCAGGCCGCCTGCGGGGCAGCAGCAGCGGCGGCCGAGGCCGGGGCGCGGGCCGGGGGCGCCGGGGGGCCGGCGGCGGCCCGGGCGGGACGATGAAGCGGCAGAACGTGCGCACGCTGGCGCTCATCGTGTGCACCTTCACCTACCTGCTGGTGGGCGCCGCGGTCTTCGACGCGCTCGAGTCGGAGCCCGAGATGATGGAGCGGCAGCGGCTGGAGCTGCGGCAGCAGGAGCTGCGGGCGCGCTACAACCTCAGCCAGGGCGGCTACGAGGAGCTCGAGCGCGTCGTGCTGCTCCTCAAGCCGCACAAGGCCGGCGTGCAGTGGCGCTTCGCCGGCTCCTTCTACTTCGCCATCACCGTCATCACCACCATCGGTAACTACTCGCCGGGCGGGGGGCGGGGACCCCGGGGCTGGCGGTCCGGGGCCGGGCAGGGGAGGGGGCTGTCCCGGGAGGGGGCTTCCCGGGGGAGGGTCTAGGCGCCGAACCCCGTGCTCCCAGAAACCCGAGTTCAGCCTGGCGTGTCTGCTCCGCGGGAACGGGACTCGGGGGAGGCATCGGTTCCTGGCTCCCGACCTGCCACTCCGGCCGGGCCAGCCCCAACTTGTTCCTGCCAGGCTGCGCGGGGCCCCGGGGGACTCTGAAGTGTGTGAGAGGGGCAGGAACGACCGGGGGAGGCTGGGGAGGAGGGGTGTGGCCCGGCCAGGCCGTGGAGCGGGGCGCTCGCTGGGGGCCGCAGGGAGTGTCCCACTCCTGCGTGTCCTTGCAGAGGGGCTTCCGCACCCGGTACCGGCGGGGCTCCAGGGAGACCCGTGGATGCAGGTACTCGGCACTCTGGGTACTCTGGGTGCTTGAAACCTCCGGTAACTGTAGGCTGTACGTGCTTCGTTGTGTGTGTGTGTGTGTGTGTGTGTGTGTGTGTGTGTGTGTGTGTCCAGTTCCCAGAGTTTGGGCACCACCAGCCAGTGCCTTTAATGTTATTAGGGTAGCAGAGGCGGGGCAGGAAGCCAGATCCAGCCTTGTCTGCCCACTTTGCTGTCCCAGGAAAACAATCCCCTCATAGGAATGACCCCCGTTCTCTTCCCCCAAGTAAAGACCAACAGCAGGCATCAGAAGGCACACACACACACCCAGATTCACAACTCAGGAACGAGTGCACACACAGGTACACACAAGCACATGCAGAGCACACACAGGCACAGACACACAGCACACAAACGGATGTCCAGGAAAAAATCTCCAGTGAGGCCCTTGTTGTGCTGTTCGAAAGTGTCCCGGCAGGAGCAAACACCTCGCCCACTCCCGGGACTCTGATTCCAGCCCAGCTCGGTGGCTTCTCCCGCCGTGTGACCTTGGGCAAGTCCCGTCCCCTGCCTGGGTCTCAGGCTCACCTCCCGACAGCCAGAGGTTGGCTGAAATGATCTCCAGGGCTCCTCCCATCCTGACACGCTCCCAGTCCACCTTCCCCGGAACCCACTGGGACGCCTCCAGGAGCCGTGTCCTCCATCTTTCCCTGTCCCCTCCTTGCCTTGGCTGAGCTCCCAGGGGCTCGTTGCCACTTGGCATCGCCCATGACAAGATGGCAGTGTTTTCCTGGGAGTCAACAGGAGTCGGAAGGTAAAAGGCAGGACTACACCCTGTCCCTGCAGTCTCCACACTGCAGGGCTCTGTGCCGAAGCTCCGCGGTGGCTCTCAGGGGCCACGTGCAGCTATACTGTGTGGTTTCCGGATTCCGCTCTTAGAAGAGGAAAAAAAAGGGGCCACAAGTGGGTGGCCCACGTAGGGGCACCTCTGGGTTCTGCTGACTCAGGCCTGCCCCCAAGTCAAGCAGCTTGCTTTCCTGGGGAGGACCAGACCAGGGGTCTGCTCCCTCCGAGTGCCGCACTGCCACTGGCCAGGGTTTTAGCAGCACTGAACATCCTCAGGTCTTCCCTCTCCCTCTTCCCACACATCATACCCTTGGTTATGTGCCCCCTTTTTTCTCAGTCCCCCACTATTCTCTGCTCCCCAGTCATCTCCCAATTGACCTTCTTGCCTCCAGCCTCATTCCACCCCCTCACCCCGGACAACACTGCCAGAAAGAATCTCCCCAAAGCAGAGCCTGGACCATACCAGTACCCTACTCAGAAGCCCTCAATGGCTCCCCCTATGCATGGAATCCGGTCCACGCTCCTGATCTCAGATTGTAGGGCCTTTATACCTGACTCCCATCTCTGTGCCCAACTTCATTTCTCACTTCTTGCTGATGTGATCCCTCCACTGCAGCCAGAAGAACACCGTGGGTGTGCCTGTCTGACACGCCTTTCTCTCTCTCTTCTATTTATCTTGTCCGAGCTAAACTTGCAGGTTCAGCTCAAACCCCATATCCTCCTTAAACTCTCCCAGAACATCCCAAGCCAGTGTTCTGTTCTGCATAACCACAAGGCTTACTGTCAGGATGACCTGGGTGACGGCAGAGGCTCTCGTGCACGGTTCTTTACATTTAAGGGGGTGTGTTTCGTCTCTTCAACCACACTGTAATTAACCTCCACATGGGCAGGGCCCGTGGTGCCCATTTCCATGCTTCCCGGGCTGGCACAGTACCCAGGGGCACACGTGAGCACTCAGAGGAGGCTACTGATGGGTTTAAGGTGTGTATAAATGAAAGGGCATGGTCTTTTCCCTGCGTCCCCGCCGTTTCCCAACCAGGGGAGATGCTAAACGCTGACAGACAGAGGCAGAGGCGGACAGAGTGTGGTTCTGGTGATTATTTATTCACAAAGTGCTGGGCAGGAGGGAAGACAGCATCAAAGCACCACCCTGGTTCTGTGGGGCCCCCAGACTGGCTCTGCCCACTCCCTGCCTCACTCAACCATCCCTGGCTGTTTGTCACCTTTTACTCTGGCTGTGCTGCCCGGCTGGGAGCTGTCGACAGCTCTGCCCTAAGGAAAAGCTGTCTGGGCTGTGATCAGACGGCTGGCAGGGGCCCTCGACTAGAGTGATCTTGACCCAGAACCCACAGGCAGCAGCCTCTCCCCACCTGCTCCCTTTGGAGACCCTAATGGGTCTCCTGAGGCACCAGTAATCCCACGGGGGTAGAATAATGACACAACCTCCCATTCATTCAGTACCTTAACGGTCACAATGCACTTTCATCTCAGGTCTTGAGCCCCAGCCTTCACAGCTCAGGGACGTTTCCAGGGCAGGCCTTCTTAGCTCATTGCACAGATGAAGGCGTGGAGGCCCAGGGAGGCGGAGGGACTTCCCCGCAGTAATGCAGCTGGTGAGCAGGAGAGTTAGAGCAAGAAGCCGGGTCTTCTGACTCCAAGCCTAGTGCTCTTTTCCCTGCTGGTCTCGTGCTGCGTCCTCTGCCTCCATATGCTGTGACGCCCAGAGCCAGCCAGGATTGTTGGCATGACCAAGATGTGCTCAGTGATGCCAGCTTGCAGGACACCCACGGGCAGCCTTGATTGGTTGAGGGTCAGCAGAGTCTGTGTTAGTCATTCACCTGGTTAGTCACAGTCTCTGCTGGCTGCAAGGATTCCTCAGCTCCCTCATCTCTGGCCTCCCAGCCAGGAAACCCGTCCTTGATTGGGCACTAAGTTCATCAAATGCAAACGGAAACTCTTTTCTGGGAAGCTTATCCTCTCTCTCTCTCTCACTGTTGAGTCATTAAACTCCTCCGGGGCCCCAGCCCCATCTATTCATAGCCCGGAGGCTGTCAGAGCAGGAAGGGGCCTTGAGATCAGCTGGTGCCACCCCTGCTTGTACAGAGAGGCGATGGGAGTCACACGGCTGCCCAGGCCCCCACTGCCTCCCCTTGGTGAGGGTGCCTGTTTGTTATTATTAACGGCAACAATAATAATAGGAGCCACCATGTAATGCCTACTCTGTGGCAGGCTCTATTTAAAACTCTTTATTTGTATCCTCTCCCTTTATTCCCTTACTGACCCTTCAAGGTGGGCATTATTACCCACGTTTTTCAGCAGAGGAACCGAAGGCTCTGTGTGTAAATGACTCCCCCAAGGCCTTGTCGCGGGCAAGGAGGTACCTGCCCAGACCCAGCTGAGCCTCCCTGACCCTCATGCCCTGGGTATTTTGCCAGTTCTTCCTCTGCTTCAAGAACTCAGCCCAGACCCTTGCGTCTCACGGGCACGGGGTAGCCACAGCTTGTCCTTCCCCTAATAAAGCCCTCCCCCGAACAGTGCAGCCAGCCGGCTGCTTCCCCGCATCCTGACCCCTGACCAACCTGGTGCCCAGCACCAGGCCTCCCTGAGCCTGCCGCGGGCTCACAGGTGCCCGTTCTCCCACTGCAGGTCCCCAGAATCCTTGCGGCTCTAAGGCAACGAGAGACCAGGTGACCGACTAGCTGAGGGCCCGGAGCAGAAAGGCTTCTGCTCTGCTCTTGCCTCGGCTTCCAGGTTGCTCTCAGCTGAGCACGGGTTCCTACCGCCTGCCCCCTGGCCTGGGACCCCCTCTGCTTATGAGTTCAGGCCGGCCCCTCATGAAGGGACCTATACTCATCCCATCCTTCCAAGAAGGGGGAAAGTGCAGAAGTGACCTGCCACCCCCACCCCAAAGTCTCCCAGTAAAAGAGTGAAAGGAAACGTTAGCGATCACCTGGACACCCAGCAAGGTGAGTCGGTGCCTGAAGTCATATAGAAAGTTGAAGGTCAGCCCTGATTAGAGCCTGCACCTTCTCTCCATCACCCCGGCCCGTTCCCCTCACAACCCCCCATCATTCTTCCCACCGGGGCCTCGGCTGCTTATCACTCCCCTGTTCCCAGTCTTCTCTTGAATTCCCTGGAGGACGGAAGGGCAGCCCAGCCTGGGACAGTCCCACTGCCCACTCTCAGTCAGCATCCCCGCCTCCCTGCCCACGGGCCACCCCTCCGCTTCCACCACACGAGCCCTGGCTGAGAGTGGTGTACAAACGTGGGCACTGGCCGAACAGCCAGAGTGCCTGGGTCCATCTCTCTGCCCACAGCACCCCTAAGTCCCCCAACCCCTGCCGCCAGCTGTGTGATCTTGAACAAATTAGTCCGTCTGAGCTTGTTTTGTCATTTATAAAATGGGTGGATAAAACCTGCCTCCCAGGATTCAATGGGATACTATACGGAAAGTGCCTGGTACAGAGTGGGCACTTAATAAACAGTATCTGCAACTATTAGTGTTATTTAATATTCTTGTCCATGCAGTATGACTCACCCCCCACCAAAGGGGACTGCAGTTTCCCATGGATTTTCCACATCCGCAGTGACCGCTGCTCCTTCCTCACAGGCGGGGACAGTGGGGTTGAAAACCAGAGGCTGCTACCCACTGCCCTTCATCCTTCTAAACCCACGCCACCCCCCACCCCAGGCTTTCAAGATCACCACCTATGTCTGGAGTCTGCC